GGGAGGTTTTGCTCCAGCCCTTCAACCAGACCTGCTGATGCCACAATCAAATACCCTGGGGGCATCCTCTAGTGGCTGCCAGCAGTATGGCCACCAGCCTTCAAGAAGAGACAGGGGAAGGGGACCTGCCCAGGAGGAAGGCAAGTGTGAAAAATAATAGTAATAATTAAAAAACTCAAGCACTGAAGAATAGTATTTTGATGTCTGCTGCTGTGTGGTACTATGGGTGCTGCTCAGTTACCACTTGAGATCCTGGAATGCTCAAAATCCTTTCAACAAGGACAAAAGCTAGGAAGCTGCTACTTCTTCCCATGCTAACAGAAGGTTTTTGTGGTGGACCTTTCCTGGCCCATCCTTGTGCTATTGCTGAGACCTGCAGAGCAGCTGGTAACTGGGATTTTTCTAAAGCAAGCCTGGTTGTTCACATTGCTGCTGCCCTTGCTAGTGAGCGGTGAGCGTGCAAGGGAAAGGAGGAAGGTGATTATCCATTGAGGCTGTTCTCTCTGCTTGCTGTGAAGTGGATAAGTGCTGTTTCTTGAGAGAACCCATTAAATGTTTTTGAGCAGTAAGCCATAGTGCTGAAATAACATCTCTCCTGACTTCTTGGCAAAATATCCCACAACCATGCAGCACATGTTACGTTTTACTGACTTTTCAGGGCTCAGCTAAGAAACTTGAGATAGTTGGAATGTGTATTTATCTGACAGCCTAAAGTTAATTCGAGATAAAGGAACTTGAAACCATTTCCTTTCTTGTCAGTGATGACATAATGAAACTGCAATTAAAAGTGGAAAGAATTTTCTATCAGGTCTGTGGATCATGAGGATACGCAGGGAAATATGTCCTGCAGGACAAAAAGTATTAAACCTGCCCACAGCTAATGGAAGCTTGGTGCTGCTCTGGATATGGGTAATTTGGTATTCAGTTGCACAGATGACAGTCTGAATACCCCCTACCTTAATAATTTAACAGATATCCATGATATGTATGATGCAGCACAGTCATCTAATTGTATAACTGTGGTGTTTCCTATCAATTCAGGAATAAAATATTTAAATAGAACATGCAGCATATGCTTCAGGGCTCCCTCTTCCCTTTACTCTTCTGCTTTAAACAAAGGTAATGGGAGGGGTCCTAATAAAACAGTCCTAAATAGTTATTTAGTGTTATCTGGGAGATGATCAGTAATTCACCTGATGTTTAGGAAGGAACACTCAGGGCTTTAAGACTTCGGGTGGTACCTTTAAAGTCATCACAGAGCAATCACCACAACTAAAACAACCCAGATGAGGAAATGTGCTGTTTATTTAAGTAGTTTCAACAGTCCAATACGAGCTGGAGATTTAGAGTGGCAAAAACCACCCCACCCATCAAGTTAACTCACCATGCTCGGAGTTTTAAAGGGGATTGGTGGTAGTAAATCATGTGCAATACTCTGACACTTCGTTCAAAAAATGAAGTTAACACTTTTTAAATTGGGAGTTAATGCTTCCCCAATACTATCCCAATCACTGGATAAACCCATGTGCAAGCTTCAGCACAAACCGATCAGCCGAGGGCTGTCTCTGGCAGCACAACCAACCTAAGACACAGAGAAGGCTACGGGGGATCACGGAGACGAGGTTTGGGCAGTTTAAAAAAGAAAACTGTTTTTGCCTTGCATCTCCTTTTTTTTACAAAAATTTATCTTGGCTGTGGTTCACCTTTAATTTGGCACTTACTGCCGCTTTCTGCTTCAAACAGAAAATACTGAAACTGATCCATAGCAGATAAAAGCTAATTGCTGTAAAACTGTTTGAGTTAATGGTCTCCTCAGCCTTTGCCTATTAAACTCAAATGCATAATTCATATGCCATTTTGGAGGATAAAAAGGTAGAATAAGTTATTTAAATTATTATTGATCTCACGATTACTGTGTTCGAATTCAAAATATTGTTAAAAATTGTAATGTCTGTATATAACAATACAATATTGATACCTTTCAAAAAAGCTATGCCTGCTAAAACCTAAATATAAACCACAAATTTATCAGTGAAGAGAGCGGAAAAAGTTGATTTTAATGCAGACAATTTAATCTGGTATTTGTTAAACAGTCTGCTGCCCAATCCTGGGCCAATCTTAATCTTTCCATCTTCAAGAACATGAGATATAAAATACATATATGCTTAAACTATGGATATGCCCTTAGCCGATTAAATAATTTCCTGGCCCAAACTTTCTTTCACACTGCTCTGTGATACAAAACGTACCTTTCTGAGGCTTTTTTTCCTTTTCTTTCCTTAGGAGTGGTGAGGTTTCACTGCAAGAACAACTATACCTGGTTTTACCTATGATGGGAAGCTACTGTGTGCTCATGCAACCTAGCTTATAGTTTTGCTTTCATTTGTAACTATGTGGTGTGTACAGGGAAACTCCTGAGGAAAAATGTGATAAAATTGATGCACCACACTGTATGACAAACAGGTGGAGAAAAAAAGTCTGATTTATGACTTTTTTTTTTCCTCCTTACAGGTAACTTGGTAGGCTCCTGTTTTTGTGGCATATGAGGTAACTGCAGGTTCTGAGGCTGGAAATTGAGGCAAGTTGGTCAATTCACTGCTGGGACTGTTATAAACCCTGGGAAGAGTGATTTGGCTCACTGGACCCTGTGGCTCCTAAACTTCACACTGTGGAGCTTTTAGGGTGGTTCTGGTCTGGGTAGTTCCCAGCACTTCAGCCATCAATATCCACATGGTGTGTAACATGTTCAGAAAACACATCTTTTCTCTGACCTCTGAGATGTTAATTTTGAGTATTTATTTGTATGATTGTGATGGGCTGTAGTTTTCACTGCTGAAAGAGCAGGAGTTGCAAATCAGTTTGTACTTGCAGAAAAAGGAAAGAAATATGTTGGGAATTGAAATCTTACAAAAGGCTCATGCTTGTCATTACTGTTGGAAAACATCTCAGCATAACAGGCGGGTCCCCAAGTCAGTCAGATAAATCAGATTATGATGTGAATGGAAATGCTGAAATTCTGCAAGTTGCAGTGATTCTTTTCTTGGTATTCCTATCTGTCCTTGTACGTGATAAAACTGGCTGTTTAGTAAAACCTGAAGCAATTCCAGGTAAAGCAACTAAGATTTGATCCTTCTCTACATACAGCTATTGCTTAAGTAAGAAGAAACTTAAAAAAAAAATCCAAGCCCTCAAAAATATAATGTGTTATGTATGTATATTATACCTGTCTTTTTACACAGTAATTTGGCCAGAGTCCCACCAGAATCTATTTAAATGAAAGAAGGTTGGATAAAGAAAGAAGGCAAATAACTCTGGTTTTGTTCCTGGTATTCAGAGAAGCAGGGGCAGACAGAGGGAAATGCCTGGACTCCAGCAGGGAGTACATATTTAGAACTAGAAATCACATTTAGGTATTTGTCTGACCAAAAATTTTCAATCTTACTGTTCTCAGATTGAATATCCTTGTTTCCTGCTGTGCTTGAGACCAAGAGTCAGTTACCTCTTTTGTATTACAAAGGTAATGATGAATCTTTAAGGGAAAGTAATTGTCTGGAACAGTCTGGAGTCATGTTCCTGAAGAGTACTACCTACTAATTTTGGTTTGACAAAAGTTAAGTACTCGGAGGAAAGAAAACATTATGAACTGGGATGTTAATAACTTGACTTCTGAAAAACCTCACCCAGAAAGCCACTTCAGGGTGAAACTGAAGCCTAAACTTCCTTGTTTTGACTCATGCTCTGTTTATTCAGGCAATACCACATGCTATGGACCAACAGCAAATTCAGAACCGCACTTACATGCCAGTGTGAACTGCACTGAGAAGCCTCAGTACATCTCTGGTATCAGCCTGGCAGGATCCCTCCACTTCCAGATCTGCCAGTGCCCATCCTCACAGTAAGCAAGCGTGAATATTTAGAGCTTTGGGCGAGCAGAACAAAAGTGTTACTGCAGTTCTCACAGGCTGACCAATTTGCAATCCCAAGACCAGAGGATGCCAAAGGGATTTATCTGTCACTACCAGGATCTGTGGAGAAGAATGATGGAATACTAAATCAGGTTCTGTACTAGGATGGATGTGTTAAAACCAAGTTCCCTGAGAGCCTCAACTGATCATATCCCTTTAACAAAGGATATTAATTATGTACATTAAAGCAAGACTAAGGGTGTATTCTTTACATCACTTTATGATGTTATCATGCAAAGAACGTAGTAAAGGGACAACTGAAACAATTCTAAACAAATATATTTGAAATGCAAAACTCAATTCAGTCAAAAAGTATATATTAACAGAAGTAAACAAAACAAAGTTGTGAAGAATATAAAAAAAATCCCTTTCCCCCTCCCCTTTTAAATTAAATATCCTGAAAACAACTTAGATAAAAGGTTTTTCTGCTCAAAACCTGTCAAGTGAAGTTTCAGATACTTCTCATGGCAGCAATGCAGTTTTTGATGGTTCAGCTAGCATTTACTGTCTGTTAGAGGCACATATATGATGGCAGAGCAGCAAAAATATTTTGCAGCTTTAAAATAAAGCTTTAAGCAGATTCTAAGGCAAGATAAACAATTATGTCTTGCAAAATGTCACAAGTTAAGGAGGGGTTTCAGAAACATAGAACTGCAGTGTATACTTTATGTATGGAGAGTGGCCACTTCACCACCACTAGCAGGGTACTGTAAAGACATTGTATTCCACAATGCTGCTACCTTTTTATTATTATTTAGCAGGAGTGAAGAAATGGGACTTAAGTCACTGTGCACTTTGTGCAAGATAACATGAAATTTTGGAACTGGAATATAGCACCTCTACTTTAGTGATTCCCTGTCACCACTGTACTTGGGCAGTAGCAGAGTGCTGTAAATTAGGATCACAGCACACAAAGCCTTTTGTCTGGTTGACAGATGGAACAACTAGTGGGACATACTTGAACATCTCTGCCCTTTAGTTTCAGACTGCAGAGGAGCAGTTTACCTAAATTCTGCGATGTTAATCTACACTTGCTGTAAATGACCCTGAAAGCATACTCAAAGACTCATTTCAAGCTGTTTACATAAGAAGCATCCTTTCACATAACATTTTCAGATTGTGAAGGTTTAGTATTTATACAGCCTCTACAGATTTGTTGATTTCAAACAATCATTAATATATTAGGAAAGCATTAAACGTTTATTAGAATGCTTTTTTTCTTTTGGCTTATCTCATTTAAAATAAAAGCCTAAAGACAACTTAGACTTAAAACATATCAAGAGAAACTGGCTCATCATTATATCACAGTCTAGGATTCATCTCAGTCTGCTTACACTGTGCAATCACAAACTCCTCCTTTAAATTAACCTTTTGTTCCCATTACCTCATGGAATTATTCTCTTGCACTCTCCATAAGCCATAGTGTACAGTTGTCTGCAACTTGAGAATAACAAAAATATGAAAAATCTGGTTATTTGATCTTTCCATTCCAGGACAGCTTGCACTACTTGCAGCTAATGCAGATTCTGCCTGGTAGAGTGAAAGCAGCACTACAGCTGCAATAGAGGCTCACTGTTGTTTGTGCATCAGTGGCCCTTGCTCCACCTTAATTAGGAAAAACTCAGCAATGAGGTACTGCAGAAGTTGGCAAATCTCACTATGATATATAAAGATTATAGCAGCAGCTTGTGTAGACAAGTAAACTCTGTTTGACCGGTATTCTTCAATTTAAAAAATCCAGTCATACACTGCAATTCACAACTTAAATACCAAACGGAATCATTTAATGGCATAGCGGAGATCAAGTCCCGCAGTTTGTGAATCCATGCGTTTACACCAGGATCTCTTCCACAGCACAGAGCTGCCTCCGCAGTCAGTCCCAGCAAGTGATTCTTTCCTGCTCGGGGATCAGGCTCCAGTTGGGCGAAGGCTTGTCAGTCGCCAGCCAGTCAAAGTCATCCACCAGGTTCCAGTTGTTACTGTCTCTGTCCAGCCCGGACGACTCGAAATCCTTCTCGATACCCGGGTAGCTCCAGTAGTAGGGGGCGAAGGAGACCTCAGAGCAGCCCTCGATGACGGCCCGACTGGTCACCTGCACGTAGAAGCGGCAGCCGCGGGTGCGGTGTGTGCGGAGCTGCTGGCAGGCCAGCGTCAGCAGGCAGTCGCTGCAGCCGTCCACCAGCACGGAGGTAGACACGGGCCCGCAGAGCACGGTGCAGCCACGGCAGTCGCGCACCCGCAGCGTGTTGGGGTTGCCGCGGAGCCGCACCCGGCAGCCGCGCAGCTCCGACAACAGCACGTCCCGCTGCCGCAGCTCCGCGGGGCCGAGCTCCAGCTCCGCGTCCTGGGCGCCGCTGAACCCGCACAGCGGCTCCCCGCCCGGCTCCCCCTCGGCCAGGCCGGGCCCGGGCGCGGCGGGGGCCGGCGGGGCGGGCTCGGCGAGGCGCGGGGCGCTGCCCGGGGCCGCTTCTTTCTTGAGGGCACGGAAGGCGAATTTCTTCTTGGGCTGCAGCTGCTGCCTCCGCGCCGCCAAGTCCCCCTGCAGCCGCGCAACGGCCTCCTGGCCCTGCCGCACCTCGTAGGGCGCAAGGAACCGCACGCTGCCCGTCAGCAGCTTCTGCAGCGCCTGCAGGCGGCCGGCCGCCTCCTCCAGCGCCCCCGCCGCCAGCAGCCCCTCCACGGCCTCCCGCTCCCGGGCGAAGGCGGCCAGGAAGAACTCGCTCTGCTCCTCTTTCACCACCTGCGCCTCCTTCTTCTGCCGCTGCCGCTCCACGCCCTGCTGCCGTTCCGCTTCCCGGCGCTGCAGCCGCTCAGGCAGCACCACGGCGGCGGAGCCTGCGGCCACCTCGGGCTGCGACGGAGCCCCCGCGCCCGCCACCTCTCCCGGCGCCGCCATCTTGCTCGCTCCCCTCCCCTGCGGTCACTAAGCCGCGCGCCGATTGGCTACCGGCAGCCCCGGCTGCGTCGCCGCCGCCGATTGGCGGGCCGGGGGGCTCGCGGTGGGAGAGGGCGGGAGGGCCGGGGGGAGGGGTCTCCCACGGTCTTAAAGGGGCCGCCGCCTCTCCGCGGGATGGGGTGAGTGTTCGTGGCAGGTGCTGTGCGCCGTGGGTTATCCCGCTTCCCAAATTAGCGCCCGGGATATAAATAACCCCATGCCCCGCTCCCTGCCGTGCGAGCGCGTAACTGCCTGCTTCTTCTCGCCCTTCTGCTGCCTTCCCCCCTGGCCGCCTCCTCCCCCCCCGCCGCTCTCAGGCCGCGCCCGCGATGGGGAGCGGGGCCGGCCCTGGGCTTGGAGCTCCCGCGGGCGGGGGGCGCGGGGAAGGGGCGGCTCGGAGCAGGGGTGGGCGGGAGGCGTCAGGGCCCAGCTCAGCGCTCCACCTGCTGCCCTGAGCCGCCCCTGTGCCCTGGAGGCGTCGGGCGGTCCCGGCCCCTGCCCGGGTGGGGTCCCTGGGCAGCTTCACAGGGCCAGCGCCTTCGGGGGGGTTGCGTAAACGCAGTGTGTTAATAGACCTTCCCTGTTGTTCCCCCCTCTCGCAGGGAAGGGGCTGTAGAAAAGGCTGCTGATCCTTGTAGGTAACTGCAAAGGTGCTGCCGGGTGCATCGTTTCCTTCTTAGCGGCTTGTTTGTTTTCTGGAGTGTTTTGTTTCAGAAGAGAGTTCAGTTCTTGAGGGGGAACGTGGGAGCAAATGCCTATGGATTACTGTGCTCTCGAGGGAGGACTGTGCGAGTAATCCACAGAGGCCTATATGGAAACACAGGAAGGAAGACTTTGAGTGCCTTTTATAATTGGTAGATGTATTTTAAGTAAATTTGCAGCCGGGACCAGAAATGAAGTACACCTGGCTACAAAGTAAAAACAGTGACCATCATTCTGCCGTATTCATTTGAGAACTGCTCTTCTATTTACTGGAATGTAAACTTTTGCAAAGAAAGTTAACGCAAAGCACTCTTTTTTAAACATATGAAAAAAAAATTAACTCCTGTCCATTTCTACAAATACCATCTCCCTTCCCCGGTCATTTCAAAGTTAAAAATTAACATAGGACCTAAAAACTATCAATTGAAACAAAAAGGTGGTAAACCTAAAGTAGATAATCTGAATTTGTTACTGTCCTCTGTTTGGTAATAGCATGAGTTTTTTGCTTAATGTTCTTGTTTGGAAGTATAGGTTGTTACGCCCTTTAAGGTTAGCATTTGGAGGTAGCCTTAGATTGAAAGTAGACATTTTCTGTTTCCTGAGAAATGTGGTTAAACACAATACTGTTAGAGTGTACGGAGTACCTGAACCTTATATGTGATAGTGTCAGCCCAGTTAGGATGACTGAAGAAAACCAGTGAAATGCCTTTAATCCTTTCAATGCATGAAGGACTTGCCCTAAAATAGAGAATATTCCTTCCTTAACATTGTTAAAATATAAAATAAGGAGATTGAAAGGAATTGTTGTGTAACAGTAGCGCTTTGGAGCAGGTTGGACGGGCACTAGGATGGGTAACTTTGTGGCCGATGCACTACAGCTCTTACAACATTACACCTGTCACAACACTGCAATGTTAATGGGTCCAGAATTTTGCTTAACTTGCAGAAGGGGAGTACTCAATCATGAAAAACGAAGGGTATCTTGAAATATTGTTGCTTGATTTTTTTTCTTCCTACCAGTGTGTTTATATGAAACTTTTAGTAAGTCTTGGGCATTTTTTTCTAATAAAGTCATATCTGTTCCTGCAGTAATTGCAGCAATGTTCCATTAGACAGGCATATGGTGCAATTAATTCACTGCAATAAAAAAAATAATTCCTTATTTCCATGGTGTTTTGTCAGAAAGATGTGTAAGTTTCTTTTTACCCAGCAGGCTTTTTTTGCCTCTATGCTCCCATGAGACTGGGTAATACAGTTGGTAACAGTGATGTGCTTATCCCATAGAATATTATTATAGAATTATTATTATTATCCCATATAATTAATATTATTATTTACTCCATAAATAAGAATATTGACAGAAAAATATTTTTCCTGTTTCTCACTATGCATGAATGCTCCTGGAATATGGCTTTGGTATTGTTACACAGATGTGACCCAGTAGATGAAATGCAGTGGGTAAGACAACTTTATATATGGGGAGATTGCAAGCAAACGCTGGTGTACACAGCACAAAATAAATGTTAAGTATTTTATGCTGTAGTATAATAACTTCTTATTTTACTTGGGCACTTAGAAAGCTAGGCATTCTAAATTGGTCTTTTTATAGGTGATCGGAGGATTATAGGTGATCGGAGGATTAATGATTAATTAAGCTCCCTTGTAAATAGGAGCTTCTGGGAGCGACTGGAATCTTTTCACCTTAATAATGTGCACAAAAAAACCCCCAGGCATAAGAAGGTGAAACATAAGACCATAATGAAAAATTAAAAAGGGAGCAGTAACATTCTTCCAACTGCTTCATCTTGATTTTCCAAAATTACTTTCCACACTTACAATTTGAGGTTTTGGTATAATTGATATTGGCATGGATATATCTCTATATATTTTTTGTGGTCATACAAAGACTCAATTTTCTTCCTGACTTTGCTAGCAGTAACTTCTATGTTTTCAGGATGCATAGTGTGCTCCATTAAAAGCCATAGGGAACAGAAGATTTACACTTTCCCAAACAGTAACCACGTGAATAAAATGTAAGCCTTGTAGCTCAGGCTTGGACTCATTTAGGTAAGCTGCAACAAGCAGTTTGGCTGTTTGAGGATATTAGATAAAAGTAAGGTACAAAATTCTCTGTGTTATACTTTTTTCCTATTTTTTTGTCCCCTCTTGTTCCTCTCTGGTTTGCAAGTAGATAGTAGTCATTTCAGTAAGGCTTTTTGCCATTGTTTGGACTGTACGGTGTCTTTGTTTTATGTGAAGTTGCAGATTGCACTTGCTTACTTTGATTTGGCGCTGTGAAACTCCAAAACATAAGCTCCAATATGTGTGCTTCCATGTTTAAATCTGTGTCCCATGGTTGTCACTCTTGACTGCTATCTACCTGAAATATTTCGTACTGATTTAATATAGCTCAACAGTATTGACTTATGGCCTTTTCAAGTGAGATGTATTGTGTAGTTCAGGTGAAGGTTCAAGATCTTGTCTTGTTCCATCATTATTTTAAGAAAAGTGGGGAGTAAAAGCAAGATCCGCAAAGGCAACTGGGTGTCTGGCCTCATAATAATGGATTCTTACACCTGAAGTTCCTCAGCTTGTAAAAGTCCAGAATCCCATAGTTGTGGTGTGATCTTGAGGTGTGGATTTGGACTCTCTCAAGCAGAGGACGTCAGTAGAGTTATTCCTTATCACCTGTATGTACTCCCAGCAGGGACAACTTTATTCCAAAGTGTGTAACGCATGTGTGTTGCACCATTACACACACAGAAAATGCTATTTTGTCTTTTAGCTGTGTTTTCAAGAAAAGCAGCAGGCTCTGTGCCTTGCATGGAGCTCTTATCTGATAGATGCGATCTCTGCCTGTTAGATTGAGTTTCTGCAGAAGAGATTAGCAGGGTAACGCAATTACTTCTGGCTACAAAGTAGGTACTTCAGTGGCTTGCACAACCACGGTATTCTACTGATGGTTTTAGTAAGGGCGCTTTGAACTTCTCCGGCACTGTGATCAGGCATTAAAGATGTAAGCCATATTATGATTCATTTAAGATACTAGGCTGCACATTTTTCACGGTGGAATAGGGCTTCATTAAAAGTGAATGTTGAGTCACTGTATCTCTGTTCTTTTGGAAAAAAAATAAATTCCTTTAACGTTACGATTGGCATACTGGTTGTTTCTTAAAAAGCTTTTGTTTGCACTCAAATGTTGTGCTTTATATATCTGGCCATGTGGAAAGGCAAGACAATGTAAAATACATGTGTTTTTAAATCACTAATTAGAGAGAGCTAAAACTATAAAACTTATTTGGTGCAACTTAATTGCTGTGAGTAATGCAAAAGCTTTGAAATGTAATCCTTGGGAATGCTTAAGATACTAATTATATTCTGACCAATCAAGGTGCACTTGTTTTGAAACTAGTCTGAGCTGGTCCCTTCTGAGAACCTGGTATTTCCAATGCCAAAGGTAGAGAAACAGTAATTTATACAAAAATGAGTTATCCTTCAAAACCAGGAACAGACTTCAAAGCGTAAGATTTTATGACAACAGTCACTTCCAGATGAACAAAGCAAGGCCCAAATATGCTAAACACAAAAGCTCGGGAGCAGAAAATCACTTAGGTTTGGTCCAGGCCTAGCTGCTGACTTATTTAGAATCCTAACTTGCTAATTGACTGTACTCAAATTCTGAAGACCTAGTATGTAAGCTACAGATGCTGTTTTATGGACTCTCCTTTTGAGGCAATTCTATTAGTTATAGAGTTTCTAAGAGATTTTTTCAGTGCCTCACTTTACACTTCAGATGCTTTTACAATTATTTCTTTTTAATGCATTTCAAAAAACTAAGGTTATTTGAGTAAGCAGTTCAATGGACCACCGAGGTTCAACAGCATATCAAAATTTTCCATTTGGAAATTGTGAATCTTGATTGCAAACATATTCCATTTCTTTTTCTGAATAATTTAAATAGAATTAACTTCAAGTCATTGTATTCAAGTTTTTATATTAATTCTTCTGTAGTATATTCCTTAATGGATAAAACTAAACTTGTATTCTTTTGTCATTTATTCATCTTACAAAAAAAGTCTGTCAGCTATCATTTTGAATGAGGGAATCCCTCCTCCTGTTATTAGCATTTGTTCTTCAATCTAAATCTGAGCATAAATTCCAGTCATATTGATACACTTTCTAGTAATAATACAAAGACTACTTTTACATCAGTCTTCATTCGTATCCAAACCTTAGCCAGTTGGTTTCATTGTAGGGACT